ACCTTCCCTTCCCGCACCTTCCCTTCCCGCACCTTCCCTTCCCTTCCCGCACCTTCCCTTCCCTTCCCTTCCCGCACCTTTCCTTCCCTTCTTTTCCCTTCACTTCCCCCTCCCCCTTCCTCCTTTTTTTTTTCTTTTTTTTTTCAGAAAAGGGTGGCCACCTTCACATTTTTGTTTCATGCAGTGTGACTGATGTTTCAGAGAATCAGAGAATGTTTTGTGTCCATCCAGTTCCACTCCCTGCCATAGGCAGGGACATTTTCCACTGGACCAGGTTGCTCAAAGCTCCATCCAACACGGCCTTGGACATGCCCAGGGGGGCATTGACAACTCTGAGCAACCTGTGTCCCTCACCACCCCCCAGTAAAGAATATGTTCTATACATATGTAGTCTAAATTTCTCCTTTTTCAGTTTAAACCCATTATTCCTTGTTCTGTCTCCATGATATTATTTCCTCAAAATACTTGCTTAGTATAAACTAAAGTTTCAAAAGAGCTCTAGGACAGAACTGGGGTCAGGCTGGAGCTTGGGCAGGCTCCATAACTCATCGACGTTTGGAAAAAGCAAAGCTGGTCCATAGGTCCAAGTTCATTTAATGCCTTTGTATCCACATCAAAATTTTCACTTTCTCTTCTATTTCACTCTTCAGTGTCAAGGCCAGGAACCAAGTGATCTGTCCCCCTGCCCTGGGCAGTGAATACGCAGTGTCAGAATCCTTCCTATGGATTTTATTCCTCTTGTGGAGAAGGGGGTCATTGTACCAAGAGCCACAGCTCAGATCATGCTTTCAAGATAGCATCAGCACAGCCTGAATTGGTCTGTATTGCTGTGTTTTGCATCAAACATAAAACAAAACATCACCGAGTTATTAATGTGCTGGGATTTCTGCCTCCCCTATTGCAGTCAACAAATACGTGGTCCGGGTTTTTACTGGTGAAGTCAGCGGCAGTGGAACAGATGCAGATGTCTTCATTAATATCTTCGGTGAGAAAGGAGACACAGGTATTCAAATGCAAATAATTTCCTAAAATATTTCCTCCTGCTCTGCAGGCCTGTGATCTGAACAACACACACACACACACACGCAGGCAATCTGGCAAATACAGAATAATTTGGCTGAGTGAAAGGCACAATAAATGGTGGCGTTAACTCTGGGGGCCCTCACATCCACAGCCCCTGAAAGGTGCATCTGCAATGCAGCAGTTGTGGCTGGGTGTGGGCATAACTCAAGTTACCTGCCATTAAAAAAAGCAGGCTCTGGGAAAATGCAGCATAAACCACCAGCAGAAAGCAGTGGAGCAAGTGCCAACCCACTGAAGGGTCCAACACCAATGTGTATTTACAGTGAGAGCTGTGTGTCACATTTTCTGGGTACCTGTATGGATAATGACATTCCCTTCTCCGTGGCAAAGGTGGTGGCAAAGCCTGCTTGGGCACTTATAAAAATAATTTCAGCGAGGTTTAGATTAGTTGGGTTTGAATAGCTTTTTTTTTTAGAAATATTGTAATTATTTTTAAATGTAGGTTTTGCTGCAACAGCGGTCTGGGAACTCAAATTTAAAATAAAAAAAAGAATATTATTAAAAGATGTGCCCAAACCAAGCTCTCTGGGCCATGGAGAGAAGTGGGTGGAGATTCCTGGAGATTCCTGTAACCAGGGAGCAAATATTATCTTGCTTTTACACTGCACCTATCCTGACAAATTCAAGAAATAATGATATGATGTCTGCCTAATGTCCCTGAACAGATTATAAAACCTGGAGGATGGGGCTCATCCTTGATTAATCCTCCAGAGTTTTACAGGGGGATCCATCTGATCTCACTGCAGACATCCCAAAGTGGGAGTCTAAGTCTTAGCTGGGTGTCCAGGCACTCTGTCATATCCACACAGACAAATAACACCCCTAGAGAATAATTCATCCTCTCTGAGGTAAGAGGGGTGAGTTGCCCACTGACCTCTTTCTCGGCACTGGTGCCTTGGGTGGGTTTCATCCCTCTCACAGCATCACTCACACAGGCTGCAACCCAGGGCACACCTTTTATACCTTTCATAAAGGAAAACCCCTGTGAGATCAGGAAAAAGCCAACAGCCCTGGCTGGGTCCTAATTTGAAAATAAATCCTTCCTCTCGGACACAGCAAAGAATTCTGTTTCCTGAAATGTCAGAATCTGCAGCTTGTGACCAAAGCCTTTCGTGAACAGTTTGGAGATTTTCAAAGACAGTAAAAATAAAAGGGAAATGTGGTGATATGAAAAAAAAAATTAAGAGCCATCTGGATATATATTTCTGAAAGCTCTGAGAGCTGTAAGTAACTGTGACATTAGAATGGAAATCCTGGTCTTTTGTGTGCTTGAGAAAAGGCACCTTTTTTATGAGAATATAAAGTCCTCTGCCTTTGCATTGAATCCTGGGTGCAGAGAACTGATATCTAGGGAATATTTGATTCAGTCAGTGGTGACATTCCTAAATATTCCTTCATTTACAAACATGCATGTGCCAGTAACCCTTTCCTTCTTGGAGTTAATATTTATTACTTATTTGTTTGGTTTTGTTTTTTGGTGTTTTTGCTTTGTTTTGTTTTTGTTTGTTTGTTTTTTTGTTGTTATGGGGTTTTTGGATTTTTTGTTGTTGTTGTTGTTTGGGTTTTTTTGAGGTTTGGTTTTTTGTTGTTTGTTTGTTTTACTTTTTCTTTTTCCCATTCAGGTGTGAGGAAACTGGACAATGACAAAGACAACTTTGAAAAAGGAGCAGAAGACAAGTTCACTCTCGATGCTCCAAATCTGGGAAAGTTAAGAAAAATTAATATCGGGCATAATAACAAGGGTGGCTCCGCTGGCTGGTTCCTTGCAAAGGTTAGTTACTCCTGAGACATTCAACATAAGCATCTCAAGGGCTCAAAATATCTCACCCTCTCAGTGGCCTGGTACCAAGAGATGTAAGGATAATTGCTGGTGACACAGGTTACTGAGAAGGACACAAATCATTTCATTCTCTTGACTTAACTCATTACCATGACCATAAAAACACCAGAATCCAAGAGTTATCTGTTGAATCTGTTCACAATGAAAATTTGCAGACTTGTAGCTTGCCCAAATTTAAGTGATTTATCATCGGCTCAGCAAAAGATACATGCTCGCCACAAAGACCCTTTTCTTCCACTTTCCTGTTCATTTTAATCTCCTGCTATGGAGTAGGAAGGTGTTACAGCTTTTAGTGTAATGGTTGAAGGAATATTTTAGAAGGGGAAATCTATGACTCTTCCCTCTGGTCTCATTTTCTTTCCTCTGTTGATGTAGTTTAACACAGCTGACTTGAATCCACAGAAGACCTGACCCCATATTTGTAAATCCTTAATAACAGGATAGTTCAATGTAATACAAATGCAAATATTAGCACGTGTTTCTCCACCACCACACAATGCAGGAAAAGTTACAATATTGGCTGTCCATGAAAAATATGGAAATGAAAAACAGTGTAGTTGTGCTCAATGTAATAAATAGGGGGAGGTAAAAACCACAGAACCTCGTTCTCACATCACAGGTGTAATGATTTAATTTTTGGTGAGATTGGTGATGTTGCTCAAGTCCCAAAATCTGGTGTAGTGACTACTTGCAGCCAACACACCAACCCTATATGCTGCCATAAGCCTCCAGGACATTTACAATTAAGTAAAATACAACTTTGGCCTTACAAATTCAGATGGAAGGTTGGACAGCTGAGCTGAAAAAGCTCAGCTGGTGTCCACTGGTTTTAGATGTTTTTCTGTAATTTGGTTAAATACTTAGCCACTCTAGTGTTGTCACTCCAGGAGGAACCTCTTCTCATGTTTCTTGTGTTTTCAGAGCAGCTTACACTCAGAGATGATTTTCCACCTCTAAATGTAAGGATAAACCCACTAAAAGGAGCCCAAAGAGGATCAGCTGGTAGAGAGGCATTGGAGTGTTGATATTTCTCCTGAACTTGTCTATTTTAGTCTCTAGCACTCCAGCTCTCTCATGCTGACAATCCCAGCCCTGGCAGACACTGCTGTCTGTGTCTGTGGAGGTACAGCAGGACTCAGGAGTGCTACAGGCAACAGCACGGTGTGGGATGAATGACAGGAGGGGAAGCTCTGTTTCCCAAAGAATGGTTTCACAAATTTATCAGAAAGGACAGGTTTAAGATTCTCCCTCATTGTTGAGAAAAGTGTCAAGGGCTCTCTATCCACAATTGTGATTTTTTTTTCTCCCCTCGGAGACATAACCCACACAGAGGAGTAGAGATTTTGATTTCTTCTCTTCTGACCGAAATCCTTCAGTATTCTTCTCTGCTGGTTTAAAATACTATAGTAACTCTATGGCAGCATTCAGGAATCCAGCAGAAGATACTGGTAAGAAACACCTCAGCAGAAGATGCGAAAAACTAGTCTAATATTAAAGGGGACTATTGTTCCCCAGCTTGTTTCAGCAAAATATCACAGAATTCTAAAACAGTCTGGTTTGACAGGGACCTTAAAGACACTCCCACCCCCCTGCCATGGGCAGGGATATCCACAATCCCAGGCTGCTCCAAGCCCTGTCCAGCCTGGCCTTGGACACTGCAGGGATCCAGGGGCAGCCCCAGCTGCTCTGGGCACCCTGTGCCAGGGCCTGCCCACCCTCCCAGCCAGCAATTCCTTCCCAATATCCCAGCTGGGCCTGCCCTCTGGCACTGGGAAGCCATTGCCTGTGTGCTGTCCCTGCAGGCCTTGTCCCCAGTCCCTGGGCAGCTCTCCTGGAGCCCCTTTAGGCCCTGCCAGGGGCTCTCAGCTCTCCCTGGAGCCTTCTCTTGTGCAGGGGAGCAGCCCCAGCTCTCCCAGGCTGGCTCCAGAGCAGAGGGGCTCCAGCCCTGGCAGCAGCTGCGTGGCCTCCTCTGGGCTGGCTCCAGCAGCTCCACGTCCTTGTGCTGTTGTTGCCCAGGGCTGGGGCAGCTCTGCAGGTGGGGTCTCACCTGAGCACAGGGGCACAGGGGCACAATCCCCCCTCCCCTGCTGCCCACGCTGGGGGATCAGCCCAGGGCAGGGGGTTCAGGGCTGGGGCAGGTCCAGCTCTCACCCCCAGCACCCCCAGGTCCTTCTCCCAGGGCTGCTCTGTCGATTCTCTGTCCAGCCTGTCTTCGGATTGCCCCAGCCCAGGTGCAGGGCCTTGCACTTGGCTTTGTTAAACCTCATGACATTTGCACAGCTCCACCTCACTGTGGTCTAAGAGCCAAATCCTTCAAAATTAGAAATTGTTTCCTGCCACAGGGTTTTAATGGCTGCCTTTGCAGTGGTTCCACCCTGGAGTAACTAACTGTGATCTAGTGATATTACTGTGTCACACAAGCTCATCTGATGGTCTGGATTTGCCCTGAAATTCCTAGGCATTATTTTAAAACAAGGCTCTGAAGCAGAGAGAGAGAGAGTGCAGCCTGTTCCCAAAGTAGAACAAAGAGCTGTAGTTCAGCTGATGGAGAAGAGTAGCCATCAAACAGGCTCTGGAGAGAAGGAAGACAGGCCAGCCAGCTGGTCTTGATAGCAGAGACATCTGGTCTCGTACACCACAAGACATGCAGAGTGGGTTCACTGGATAAAAAAGAATGAAAAGAAAAACCTGGGTTTTTGCTCACTGATTGTCTGAAATTCTATCAGTACTAATTAGGGAGTGGAGTGGGATCTGCTTGTGTATTGAATATGTTAAATGCCAAGTGAGAGTGTGTACATTAAGTTTCTGCTCTTCTGCCACCCTGTTGTGTAAAACCTTTGCTTTTCCTGTGCTGTTTTTCAACGTGGTGTCTCTTTTCTCTTAGGTGATCATTGAGGACATTGGCAATAAATGTGTGTACCAGTTCCCAGTTGGACGCTGGTTTGCTTTAGACGAAGATGACGGGAAAATACAGAGGGACATTCTTGTTGGGGGCACTGAAGCCACAGGTGAAATCATGAGCCGGATCTGTGGTGGGAAATGGGAAATTAAGGCTATTAGTCATGTTTTCTTTAGAAAATTGAATGCTTTATGCTCAGGGAGACCTGCAGTGAGGCATCTGCTGGTGATAGTGTTTTGTGTGAAGGTTCCTGGGCTGCCAACACATTTCCCACCTTTGTGTCTCACCTGTGAAGCTGTGCAGGACCTACATGCTGGTTTATCACCTGGTGGCCCTGGATAAGAGGCTGATGGTCAGGGAATGAAAGATACAGCTTGTACCTTCAGCAAATTTCTCACCAGCACTCAAAGTGTTTGTTATTTCCAAAAGCAGTGAATATTGTACTTCAGTTTCTTGTCTGGGGAACTAAACAACCTTTTACAAAACAAGAAACACAGTGCTGAGCCCTAAACCAGTCTTTTTTATTATCCAACATGGCTAAAGCAAAGATAACCATAGTTTATGTCTCTGTTAAAAGAAACCTGGATGTAAAGTCCATAAAAGAACTTGTCACGAGGCAAAAGACTATTTGGATAATATGACAATTATTTGGATGTTCTGCCTGTATTTATTTAATAACATGAAGGCAAACACTGTGATGATGCATGTAACAGCAGTTCTTTACTTCCTTGTATGGTCTTCAACATCTGCAGTCCTCGTATTCCCCCCTGAATAAGCATGAGGGAAAGTGGTCTGGGTGCAGATCCCTCACTGCAGGATGCTTGTTAGGAAAAATCAAGGGAAAAAAACTGAAAGAAATGTAATTCAATCCCAAAAAGCTTCCTTTATCTTTTACCATTCATGACTGTGTAATTTATTTTTCTGCTCTCTGGAGTTTTGTTGAAGATATATCAACAGTAAAGCATGCTTGAGTACAATTTTTAATGCAAATTTCAAAGGGAGGATTATTTGTAAGAGAGTGAGTTCTGAAGTTTTTGCTTCATCCCAAGTCCCTATAGAAATTTTTGTCTGATTTAATCAAAAAATGTAGCTTAGGTCTCAGGTATTTTCTGCATGCTGCTATAGTGTTTAAGTGCGTATTTGATGACATGAGACAGATCTAAGATTTGCTTTTCTGTGATGTAAGACTTATGGGAAGAAGTGTTTTCATTCTTAGACCAAGAGCTGGAGATAGAAAAAACCCCCCAGTGACACTTTTATGTAAATAGGTTTCTTCTAAGAAATACTTTTCTTTCTTCCAGCTGGGCTGATGCCTCTCCCAAACCTTGTTTTGCTGAGATCTGTGGGTTCTCACAGTGACTGTGGAGGTCCTGATTGCTTTAGCATTATAGGCTAAAAAACAAGTAAACCCAAAGTTATCAGAGTTTTGTGGTATTGCAGATTTTGCCATCACTGTTTAATGCAACACTTCTCCATCCTTTCAGCATTCTCTAACATATCTGCTGTTTGATATTTCTCAAAATCAAATTACTTACTTGCCAATTCAATTTTCTTGCCTTTCTTCACCTAATCAACACCACAGAGTGAATAAAAAAGAAAACTATTTTTTTTCCATTGGGCCATGGGAGGCCCAAACAGGGAGTTTGTCACCCCATGCCTGTTTCTCTTGGGCAGTCTGAAGGTAGATGTGTATTTCTCAGCATTATGTGTGAGACAAAAACAAATGAAACAGTGCATTGTGTGTAAGTCAGAAGCTAAAATAGACCAGTGGGAAATCAATAGCGTCTCCGACATAAATCCAATCAAAGCCATAACTCTCAGACTCTTTTCCTCCCTCCTTTTTTCCCTAATCAAACTTCTGATTCCTCCAGGCATTGTGTACAATGTGGCTGTAGTGACAGGAGATATCAGAGGAGCCGGCACCAACTCCAAGATCCACGTAATTCTCCACGGCTCCAAAGGCTTAAAGAACAGTGGGAAGATTTTCTTGGAAGGGGGTGAATTTGAACGTGCCAGGACAGATCTCTTCAATGTGGAGATAGCTGCCCTTCTCAGCCCTCTCAGTAGAGTCACCATTGGGCATGATAATTGTGGTGTCAGCTCTGGCTGGTTTTGTGAGAAGGTGAGACTTAATTATCATAAATTCATTGAATTGTTCAGGTTGGGAGAGACCTCTGAGGTCATGGAGTCCTAACACTGGGCCAACACTGCCAGGAGTTTTGTCTGCAGGCACCTGTCAGACCTGTTCCCCACTCACAACCTGACCCCGACAACCCAGAATGGTTTAAAAATAAATAAAACAAATCTGCTTTTGTTTGGAAGGCAATATCCCCGGTTTAACAAGGCAATATTATACATCACGCATGGGAGCAGCTGATTGCCTCAAAGGCGTGTTAGATGCATAAGTCAATCACTCGCTAATTGGGTTGATTGCCCCTCTGCAGTCACAAAGATAGAGATTATTGTTTGCTCAGCTCCAAAAGCACCTTCAGATGTTTGCCCAAGGGGCTGGACAGAAATGCAGCCTTGGATTGTGCTGAGCGTTTCAAAGTTATCATCTATGCTCAGACTTCCCTGAAGTTTCTAGATGCTGCTCTGAGGGCTCAGAAATAATGATTTAAAAAAACCCAAAGCCCAGTAGAAAGTGTCTGACCTCAGCTGCTATGGGGAGGCAGTGGAGGAATATGCAATTTTGTTACCCGACAACTTAGATTTCTTTGAGAAGAATTCTATGCAGCAGTGGAGGAAGATGTTGGAAAATTCTTCTAAGTTCAGCACATGGTGTGTTATCCCTATATCCGTGGGTAATGTTTGGTTTTGTACCACCCAGTACTTAGTACACATGCCAGAGATTAATGTGGCCTTGTGTTAACTCCCTGCATCTGTGACTAATGAGTTTTGTGCCAGCTAGCGCTTCCTTGTTTGCTTCCGCCAGTGATTAATATGTACTGGTAGATATCTTCATTTTGAGAACAGAGATGGAGTGCCAGAGCAAAGAATGATAAAGAGAAGTGCATCACAACCTGGACACATGTTTGAGATACTCTCCAGGAAGGAAGATTCACCAGAAGACCCAGGACCATAAGAGGGAATTTGGAGGAATGGGATGTTCCCAAATGACCACCAAAAATCCCCAAAAGACCCCTACTCATATCCAAATAACTTCAAGGAAATAATAAGCATATATTCATGTATTCAGGAAGTGTAATGAATATCTAATAGAAATGTGACAAATATGTATTAGTTTCATGTGTGGTCTTTTTGGTTGCTGCTCATGCTCTTAGGTGAAATTCCCATGCATCCAGCATTGTTAATAATTTTTTCTTTCCAACCCAGCAAATTGGTTGGAGAGTTTATTTTGGTGACAACACTAGATCATGTACAAGGTCATTAGGAGGAAATGGGAGGGTGGAGAGGAAGGCAGATGCCTACCCTGAAGCTACGAGGAGATTCAGTTTACCTGGCAAGCAAAATCAGCTTAGGATGGATCCTAGGATGGATGTTTGAGGGCTTTTTGTACCCTTTGTTTTCTGCAGAGCCCTGCTGTGCACTGGCATGGTGCAGGGCCTGTGCAGCATGCTGATACAATGCTGGCTGCTGCAGCCACCCTGCCTGCTCCCCTTCACCTCCTGGTGTTTCACCTCTTGGCTGACCCATTGTGATGTACTGCCGCAAAAATGGGAATAACAGAACAGATGAGTCGTAGTTGTACTCCAGACTGAGTTCTGAAACCAATCTGGTTCATATTGGTCCAGAAAAGCTGATTTTGAGAGCAGGACCAAGATCTCCAGCTCTGTCTTTGCTCTGTTTAGGTTTTCAGTACCAAGGTCCTGTGGGCTGCCAGTAGCAGAATATTCAATCTCACTTTCCCAATCCTTTCCCAGGTGGTGGTTTACTGCCCGTTCACTGGGATTGAGCAAACCTTCCCATGTGGGAAGTGGCTGGATGAAGATGAAGGGGACGGTCTCATAGAGCGGGAACTCTACGAAATGGTGTCCCTACGCCAGAAAAGGCTGAAAAGTAAGTGCAAGTGCCCAGGAGCCTCCTGTGACCATCACCCCTCCTCCCACCAACAACGCCCCCTGAGCGTCACCTGAGTGACATGGGTATATCCAGGGTCAGGGAGAGGTTCAAGTGGGTTCAGTCACTGGATCATATAATGGTTTGGAAATGACATTTAAAGGTCATCTAATTTCAACCCCCTTGCCATGGGCAAGGACATCCATTCTCTCAGGCTGCTCCAGCCCTGTCCAGCCTGGCCTTGGACACTGCAGGGATCCAGGGGCAGCCCCAGCTGCTCTGGGCACCCTGTGCCAGGGCCTGCCCACCCTCCCAGCCAGCAATTCCTTCCCAATATCCCAGCTGGGCCTGCCCTCTGGCACTGGGAAGCCATTGCCTGTGTGCTGTCCCTGCAGGCCTTGTCCCCAGTCCCTGGGCAGCTCTCCTGGAGCCCCTTTAGGCCCTGCCAGGGGCTCTCAGCTCTCCCTGGAGCCTTCTCTTGTGCAGGGGAGCAGCCCCAGCTCTCCCAGGCTGGCTCCAGAGCAGAGGGGCTCCAGCCCTGGCAGCAGCTGCGTGGCCTCCTCTGGGCTGGCTCCAGCAGCTCCACGTCCTTCAGATGTTGGGGCATGAGCTGCAGATTTGAAAATACTGCTTTAGGGGTGTAATTAAACTCCTACAATATTTTGAAGAATTATACTCATTTCCTTAAGGTCCACTGGGCTTAGGGCTGCCTCAGACATTATCTTTGCAGACAAGCCAGGCTACGTTGCCTATCACTACAGAAGCAAAGCTTTCTTACTTTAGATGAAAACAAAAACATAATAAGGAGAGAAACCTTGAGAGGGGGAATGGAAAATAAAACAAAACTCTTCCTGCTGACTTCAGCTATTTTTATTCCTGACCTTAGAGAAATGACAGGCCTGAGCCCTGTCCAGCTGTTAAAAGCGCCTTCCCGAGGCAGGAGGGTGCTGGATGCGGAGCCTTTTCTCTAGAGGGAGGCAATGGCACACGTTTGCTGGGAGGAGCTGCTCATCCATCCCCGCACGCTCCAGCCTGCTTCTGCACCAAGCCAAACACATATCGCTGCTGCCCGGCCCGCGCCGGCACCCGCCTGTAAACAGAATATTTTAATTAGGATAATAGGCTCGGTTTAATCCGAGAGTGCTTCGGGTGGGCTCCCCCTTAAACAGCAGTTCATTTGAATAAGCTTTATCTAAATGTTAGTCAGTGTTGTAACCACACTGCACCTCCAACGCGGTCCATTTAGCTAAAGCATCTGCAACCTTTAACCCCCTATTATCATCTCTGATTGTTATTGACAGGCTAATTCCCTCACCACTGCAGTGCAGGAGATAGACAGAGAGCATTAGCCTTGAGAAATCTGTGACCTTTAGCTGCCAGATTATAGAAGTGTAAGACTCGGAGTTAGAAAAGACCTATTATGTCATCTCGCCTATCTCCCTGTGCATACAGGACTGTCCCTTTCTGTAGAGATCTTCAGATCAAAGCTGGTTTGAGCCTCACTTGGGGTATCCATGGTGAAACGTTTCCCAGCACAGCATCCAGAAGCTGCTCCCGCAGCAGATTGCAGCTCCATATGTAGCTTGTATTTATTCTGTGGGGTTTTTTTATTCCCTCCTCTCCTTATCTTGAATGTTATCCTGGAAACTGTTGTGCCAGGTCTTGTCCTCCCTGGTGTTTGTGCCCTGGGGAATATTTGCCCTGGCTCTGAGAATTTCCTAAGTGCTTGGATACCTCGATGTGAAAGGATGAGAACCCAGGGCTGTGCCCAGCAATCCCTGGGAGGATGATGATGATGGTTATTTGGGGAAATGCCTGGCCTTCTCCAGCAGCTGCAGCCCTAGCTCAGCCACATCTCCCCTGGTGTGGTTTCTCCCTGACAGCCCTCTATCAGCATTTAATCCTGGTACAAGGTCCCGTTTCCTCCTCTGTGCATGCTTCACTCCTCCTTTCCCTCAGCAAGAGGTCAGGGAGGCCAAACCAGACAGATGAGAGCAGACTTTGGTGTCTGAATTGCACTTGCAGCTTTCCCCAGGGAAAACAGGCTTCCACAGAATTTGTTTCATTTCTGCTCATCTAAAACTTGCTGGTGCTTTTCTGGGAGGAGTGGTCATGAACATTTTGTGTGTTATTAAAACAGGGGCAAAACTTTTTCTGAGAGATCCCTCTTCCCCTCATTTTTTTTCCAGTAGCTCATGTCTCTTTTTTATACAGTCAAACACTGAATAGACCAGTAAAAATCTAATTTATATGCATGTCATCATATTTTTATATTCCATTCTGGGCTCTGAAGGTCAAGCTGTGCTAGTGTGGGCTCAGGCATACCGAAAGGGTTAGCAATTCTCTCATTAAGGTTTGTTAATAATTCAGCTGATGTCTGAGTGAGGGAAGAAGGCTGTTCCCTATCCCATAGGTGCTGCAAGGCCTGCAGAAATACACATTATTGTCAATAAAGTATGCAGATGATGGGCTCTTTAGAGGAAATAATATCACCCTTATATACACAAAAATATTCTGGTATGAAAACCGATGTAAAATTGCTGCAGATGGAGTGGACTTATGGTTAAAATGTTGGATGAAGACTTGAGATAAAAAATCTTGCAGATTGGCCACAATCTTAGGGTATGTCATGTAGTATATATTAAAAAAAGTGTTTACTGAATTTGTGTCAAATTTAGGCACTTAAATAATTTAAAATCTTTTGGAAAATATCTTTACACTGCTCTGAGCATGTCCCACATGATGCAGCCTCACTAGGGATGGATACCTGAGTGGGCTTTGAGACAACCTGTTCTGCAAGAAGCATTTTTGGGATAATTAGTCCAGCCTTGGGAGGCTGCTTATCTCAGGATGAGGGGATAACACATCTGTGGCCTGTTTCTCCTTGTTCCATACACAGATCAGACAAGTTTTTAGGAGCTACCTGGAGCTGCATTGCACCGTGCACAAGTAACTGGAGACTCCTTCTCACTGACAGAAGGGAAGATTAATATTTCCCTGACTTTATGGTCTTTGAAGCTTGAGTTGTAGGTATTTTGGCAAATGTAGGTATTTTGGCAAAATGAAACTACAGGGTTGGGTCACACCCCTGCATTACCCTGTTAGTAGAGTATAACAAGAGATTATGGTTCACCTGAAAAGAGGTTGTTTATGCTTTTCTAATTTTCTTTTAAATGAAATCTCAGAATTATATTTCCAGTCTCATTCCTGCATGTCATGCAGCAGCTGATTTTTTTTGTGCAGAAAAGGATGAAAGGTCTTTGTCTGTCTTCGTCCTACCCTCTCTACCTACCAGGGGAAACAATGATAGTTATGTTTTTCACCAGGTCACCCTATAAAAATTACTTTTTAAAGCAAGTATCTTTAACCTTTCTTTCTAGAAAACCCCTGGTCTCTGTGGATCTGGACAAGTGACATTAAAAATGCAGGAACAGATGCCACCATCTTCTTCCAGATTTATGGAGACAAAGGGAAGTCAGATGAGATGAAGCTAGACAACAATTCAGACAACTTTGAAACTGGACAGACTGACAAATTCATGGTAAGAATCTTGTGGAAGTGGCAGATATGGCTTGGTCTTGTTGTTCAGGGCTTTAGCTTCAATCCCAGGCAGAAAGTCATCAGTATGAGATTTTTACTCTATTAGAACCTTCTAAAGTTGAGGTGAAGTCGCACCATTTGACAATGATGCAAATGATTTACTTCCCTATGGATATGGCTTGTCTTCCCAAAACAGGGAAGAGGCTGGTATTTTTTGAGTTCTCTCTGATTTACCTCTTGAAACATGTCCAGAGGTGCCCTTTGTCTGTGTGCTTTGCTGACTTACAAAAATGCACATTGCACCTTTTCTACCCGCTTACAGATAGAGCTTCCTGATCTCGGCACCTTTTATAAGCTTCGGATATGGCACGAGAAAAGAAATCCCTTTGCTGGCTGGCATCTGAATAAGGTGAGGGGACAGCAAGGGAAGGTACACCTGGAAAGCCAGGCTGGTGGCAGAGGTCTGCAGTGCCAGTCCTGGGTCACTGTGTTCCCCAGCAGGCAGCTGAGCTTGATGTGCAGTGCTCTGAGATGCCTGCCTTGTCAGAGGACAAAGTAAAATGGTCTGAGGTTGCACCAGGGAAGGATTAGATTGAATATTAGGGAAAATCCCTTAGGGGAAAGGCTTGTGCAGCCCCAGTACAGCTGCCCAGGGCAGTGGTGCAGTCTCCATCCCCGGAGGGATTTAAAAGCTGTGTGAATGTGGCACCTGGGGACATGAGTCAGTGGTGGCCTGAGCTGTACTTGATGATCCTTGAAGGCTTTTCCAACCCAAATGATTGTGTGATTTTGTATGTGGGAAATGAGAGCAATGGGGAGAGGCAGCTCCCAACAGCCCAGACTGATGGTGAAAATCCCACTTTCCCACCTTTCCCATCAGGCAAGTGATGCACTCATCTCACTGCTACCAGGGGTTTCTTCCTTGCTCTCCAGAAATCTTTCTATTCTTAGACACCACTATTGTACAGAAAGGCAAACCAAGTCCTTCGATGGCTTGTAACAAAACACCTGATTCCAGCAGAGATTGCACAGTGAAGCATCCCCTGCCCTGAAGTGCTGACAGCCCTGTGATGGGGGGTGAACTCCTGCAGGCTGGGGGAGGCATGGAGATGTGCAGAGGAGGGCAGCCCTGTGCTGTGTGGGAGATGACAAAGATGATCTGCTCAATCTTCACTCACACATCCTTTGCTCTATCAGCATTGATTACTGTGCTATCACCCCTCACCTGGATTGGACAGCAAGTCCTGATCTGATCTTCACCCCTGCTCCTCCTGAACAGCTTGGATGACATTCTCTGCGCTTAACAAAACACATGCTTTGCTCTGCATCTGTAAATAAGTGTGTTGATAAGCCACAGTTTACCACTTGGAGCTTTTTCTTTCACTCCTTTAGGGTGCTTTGACACATCTTGCTCTCCTGCATTGTCTTGGAGCTGTGGAACCATCCACTGCCAACACCCATCTCCAGGGGCAGGAGGGCATCAAGTGCTGCTATTGTCACCACATGGTGACAGACACAAAGAAGTGTCTGGCTGGGACAGACAGCCCTTTTCTTTCTTTGTTTCAAAGAACTTGCAGGTCAGACTTTGGGCCACTGCAATCATCCCTATAGTTTCTTCACAGATGATCACCAAGAATGTTTGTATCTTCCACAGCTGTATATTTCCCTATCTAATTTTCCTGCAGAAAACTTATGTTCAAGAAGGACAAGAGGTAACTTAGAGTGTGTCTAGGATTCCCTTTTGGCCAAACTGTCTAATAAACCTGGTTAAGATGCATGAAATTAATTGATGGTCTTGTGGTTGGACGCATTTTAGGCCTTTCTCAACCGAAATGATTCTGTGATTCCATGACTTGATGAAAATCAGTCTGTCTTTATACGCCCAGTCTGATGTTTTCTGGATGCATCAGGCTCATGGCACGTGAATCCCAGCACCTGTAGCACCTAAGAAATTAGATGAAACCTGAGTGATGCTTTGTTCTAGTCCTCCCACATTCTGGTTTGCTTCATGTTGGGTCAGGCTTCCATTTTCTGTCACAAGAACCTAGAACAGCCACACTGGTCAGGCCAGAAGTCCCATGAGCCCAGCATCCTCTCTCTTGTGTCACATAAGGCCATGGTTTTAGAAATGTAAGAAAAAAAGACAAGCATTTATGGTGCTTCCTTCTCACATTCTTTCAGTTTTTTACTATTTCCAGTTGGACATTTATTTCCTAAACTGATCTACCAGACAGAAAGCATTTAGCAGGTTTATTTTTCCAATTATTAGTTCAAAGTTTCCAGCCTCCCCCCGAACATTTAAATTTTCAGCAACCTTAATAGCTTTTGGCAAGGACTTCACAGGCTGATTGTGTCTTTTTTTGTTTTGTTTTGTTTAGAACTGTCTTACACAGGCATCATTTGATGCTCTGTATTTCTTGAGGCAGAAGAGGGAACAGCTGATCCCTCTCTGCTTTCTCTATTGTCACCTGTGATTTTGACAGTCCACCATCATACCCTCGATTTACACACTTCAACAGACAACTGCAGAGCACCACCTTATTTGCTCATTACTCCTTTGGGAGCTACTGCAGATCTTTTTTCATGGTTCCTGCAATTTTATTTATTTTTCTTTCTCAGTGCATTGATTCTCATCAGCAAGAACTGGCCCCATCCCTGATACGCTCTTTGGGGCTGTAAAGTGCACATGGTGAGCCAATTGCAGAGCCACAGAATCCCTCAAAAGTCCCTCAAAGCCATGGAGTGATTGGAGAAGGGAAGAATGAACGGCCATCAGCTGTGGCAGGCTGCTCCATGCATCACTACAGTGCACAAGCTGGACGGTCTCATTATTAATATGTTTTATTTCTCCGCTGCTACCTACTCTTGCCTCCTTGGCAAAAAACCTGTCAGGATCTTGTTGCTTTTTTGCCTTTAAGCCTCTGAACTCATGCGGTGTTTTGGTTTAATGAAGGTAACTCTGCTGAAAACGCTGACAAAAGAAAAATACTCATTCAACTGCGGCCGCTGGCTAGATATAAATGAAGAGGACAATGAGATCGTGCGGGAACTCCCCGCCGAGGGATCTCTGGTGACTGAAGTCATGCCAGGTGAGAGCCACAGGCTCTGTGCAGGGGCTTGCTTAGGACCTGAATAGAAAGAAACCCTCTTTGTGTGAGAGATGCACAGGCAGACTGATGCAATTCAATTAACTTCTCTTTCTGGCACTTTCTCTCTGCAGTATTTTCTGTGTGCATCATTAGCTGCATGAAGCCTGAGAAATCCCAGCCTTTTATTAATTTTTTTTTTTTTTTCTGGAGCAGATTTCTCTATGGTGGGAAGTGGGAGAGATCTGGCCACAGCACAATAGTTTCCAGGGCTTGGATTTTGTTGTTTATTTAATTTATTTTTTAAATTTTGTAATTTTTTTCCGCTCTCCCTTAAAATGCGAAATGCAAGGTTTGAGGAATATTCATGGAAAGCAAGCTTAGTTGAAATGCAGTCTAAATTTTGACAATCATATTTTGGGCTTTAAAGTTTTATTTAGTTATATTCAAATTTATGCAGCTGTATGTATAAATATATAGTAAGTTGCACAGCACAGTGGTATGTGCATATGCATCTTTCAGTATGTATGAGCAATCCAAACTATTTATTCTTTTAATTGAACTTGAGATTTAATTAAGAAAAGCTGAAGAACTTTGTCCTGGCTTCCTGGAGCAGCCACTTCTGCCTTGACCTTGTGTAACAAGAATTAATTCTACTTAGAGGGAAATTTTAGGAGAGCAGAACATCTCGAGGTAGCCAGTGGGATTTTTCACCTTTCCACCAAAGCACCCACACTCTGTAAACCTTGAGTCCCCCGTTTCCTGAAATTTCTGGTTCTGACGTTGCTGATCTGCATGCAGTGGAGCAGTTTCTCAGAAGAGGAAGAGTAATTGTAATTGCAGATGTTATTAAAATGTAAATAAACCTGGTTTTGAAATGTATTTTTAATCAGCTGTGGAGAGGACAGCTTGAATCCTCGCTCAGGCACTTTCCTGTGTGGAGAATTTGTGCTGAGCAGAGGTGAGATGCAGCACCTCTGTGTCTGGCTTGAAGGTGGATTTTGGAGGGAGGGTGGGAGCACTGAGTCTTGTTCCCCCCCCACGCTGGAGAAAAGGGGATCCCTCTCAAAATCTGGTCTGTGGGCTGGCTCTTTGTGATAATTCTTCCTATAAATCCTTCATCCATTGGGAAGGGAGGGCAGAGAGGAGGCCATGGTCAGGGGAGGAATGTGGCAGATCAAAATCCATCCAGAAAAAATGCATGACAACCTTAAAGGTGAAAAGCAGGCAAGATAATCCAACCTGCTGCATAAAGTTTGGACTCTTAGAGGGAGGATCTTGGGGGGCCGTTTCCAACCTTTCTGATGTAATGATTTTATGATTCTATGATTATAACTGTCCCAAGGGGATAGGGCCAACTGGGCCTGTCTTGTCCTGTAAATCCAACATGAAGAGCCCATTCCTCAGGTCTCTCTTGTGCCTTTCTAACTCTTCTTATCTACCTGCCATGGCCCTGGATGCTGAAAATGTCATTTTCTCCACGCACATTGCAGGGTTCCCCACCACCGGGGCCATCTTGGGAAGGCAGAAGGGGAGGTAGCAGGACACAGGCGCTCCACTTCATGAGGTTTTCCTTCAAAGGCCCATGATTTTTATGTCCTTCTTTGGAGGACTTTTATGGGTTCTCTCAATGCTTTCAAGTCTTTCTATTTTAGCTTTTTTTTCCCCTCCCCTTTTCCTAGCGGTAACGCGGAAGTGTACAAGCCAATACATCAGCAGAAGTGCAAGCTGGAAGTACGAGCGCCTAAAGTTAATTACAAGCCTGTCAAAAAGGCGCAGTAAATTGAAACGGCGATTAATGGCGCTGCTGCTGGGGTTGTTTTGCTAATTTGTGTCTCCCCAGTGATCAAGTACCGCGTGACGGTGTGCACGGGCACGGTGAGCGGGAGTGGCACGGACGCCAACGTCTTCGTCTGCCTCATCGGCGACCAGGGGGACACGGGCGAGCGCGTCCTCTACAACTGCATCAACACCGTCAATAAATTTGAGAAAGGCAACGTAAGTTCACGCAGCAGCACCTCTACACAAGGTTTTTAAAGAGTGTGATGGTTTTATAATTTTTATTAATTTTTTAAATTTTTTTTTTAAATGTGTGTTTGTAAACTCAGCTGATTTCCTTGCCAGCTCAGGCTGGGGAAGTGGGAAGAAATAAATCTTGTCAACAGAGCATCGTAACAGGTTGCAGCTGTAGGGAGGCCTGGGTCGGGGACAGTGTGCCCTTGCTTGATGTTTGCTCATGAAAGAGTCTCTTGGTTTGCTCCCCATCTAAGTTCTGACTGCTGAAATTGCATCTGCAGATTGGGGAAGGCTTCCAGGAAATCTTCCAGGAATAAAATAAAGCCTTTTTCCTTCCATCTAATATAGCAAAAATTTGGCTCCCTGGGGCAAAGGAAGAAAAAAGCATCTTATTTAATGTGAAAGTCAGAACCCAAAGCGTAATATGTTTCCTTTACAGATACTCCAGTCTCCCTCAACCATGCTGCACTCAATTTTATGTCTTATTTTCAAGCTGATTTTCAATATATTTTTGTCTGTCCAAGTCCAGAATGTAGGGGGGTGGAAATGGACTGAAATGAAGATGGAGCTTATTCCCTGTAAAGCTGGAGATAATGAAGTTGAAGAGTAGTTAAAGCCCTTGCAGCATTGGCAGTATCAGCAAGCAAATAGTTTGCTGATTTGATCTATAGGGTCATGGTACTTAATATGTATCCAATTTTGCATCTCTAGGGTCCAACTTAGACTGGTAAATTGTAATCAATATCTCCAGAAGGAGATTTTGAGAATCTGATCACAGAACTCTGGAGAGTTCTCTCATCTCTCATGTCATTATTTGATTGAAGGTTCAGAGTGGAAAAAAAATGAAGATAAAAGGAGGTCACGTTTTCAAAATAGACCATTGAATTTAGGCTTCTGAAATATGCATTAGCACTTTGAATTTGCCTTTGAGTGTCCAGAATTTCCAATTCTTCACTGAAATCACTGAGCTCTTCTAGACTTTAAAAGAACTTCTGTCAAAGCACAATTTCTTGTGCTTCCAAGATCTGTCTGTGGAAACATGGCAATTATACACTGTGAGAGTCCATTCTGCTTCTAAATTATATATAGGTTTGCATAAATGGACTTTGCAAACATCTTTTTTTGCCTATGCATTGACATTATAGATATTTTAGTTAAAAGGTAGATCCAAGATGTAAAGGATGGCATTTTGTCATTTGATGAAGCCTGTGTAAAAATGGCAGCAAAATGAGTCATGTTTTGGTGCTGAAGACTGTCCCAGTGCAGTTCCAAAGAAAGATGCTTGGTTTGCAGAGAATACAAATATTTTAAACACAGATAATGGCTATTTTATGGGATGCTCCATCCTTGTCCAAGTCCAGGTTGGATGAGACTTGGATCCACTTGGTCTAGGGGAAGGTGTCCCTGCCCATGTCGGGTCCCTTTAAGGTCCCTTCCCACGAAGACAATTCTAGGGTTCTGTGATGATTCTATGATATTTATTCACAAAAATAAGTTGTAGGCTAACTTGCATGAAGGAGGATAAAAAGGGAAAAAATAATTTTGTCAATCAAATGATGTGATTAGTAGTATGCAGATGACATAAACCAAACTGGAGTCTATTAGTGGAAAACTGCTCTCCTGGCACGAGGAGCTGAAAGCTGGTGAATGAATGGGAAGCTGTTTAAGAATTGATCCTGACAGACTTAAAGCTCATATATTCAAGAAGCTGAATGAGTATATCTACACTGATTAACTCAGATACCCTGTTAAAAAGAAATGTTGCTAAGTCAGTACGGTCTCTAATCTATAGCCACTTAAACCAATAGTACCTTGATTACCAATTTAACTTTAAAAGTTTGCCTGCAGATGCAAACTAACAGCCTGTGCAGAAAGTAGGATTTAAAGATGCCTCTAAATTAGGTGTTTGCCCTGTTGTGGTTCCAGTTAGTTACTTACTCATTAATTTATATCAGCCATTAATAAGTAAGGTGAGCATCAGGACTAATGAATTAAATTACATTGACTTGGACTGAGTCAGTGAGGTTTTGATGCCTTAAATCCCCAATTCAGCAGTTTTGAGTGTGTAGGTAGCATTGACATATGTAAGTCCATCATTAACACTTTAATCAGTGGCAAAATGTTTAGCTGTCTTCATTCTGAAGGTCAGTTTGGAGACCTGAATGTTGACCTAATTGTTATAATTTTAATAAATTTCAGTATTTGCTTAAATAATGCCTTGCCACCATGTTTCCTGGGAGCTAGCTGGATGTGTGCTAGCACCATGAGTGCTTTTGGGAGATGAAGAACAGCCCAAAGATAGTGGTTATTAGTGGTTATCTTTCTTCTGACCTAAGCAAGGCATCCACAGCAGTCATGTCTTCTTGTTGGGCTGTACACTGCAGATGTGCTGTGTTTACACCCAATATTTACCATGCCCGTGCCATGTCTGTGCATCTGTACATGGGACACAGATACTTTTGCCTGGCCTGGTTCCCAGAGGAGTAACTCACTCTCTTAATGCATTTCTCTTCCCTCATTCATCAGGGACTGCTGGTGACAGTCAGCTTTTGGGTAACAGAGCTCTGATCTTGAGGGACCATCTCTTGGGCTGATTTGTAGCTTGGTTATTTGAGCCTATTTCCAGGGAAACAAAAAAAAAAAACAAAACCAAAAACAAACCAAAACCAAACAAACAAACAAAGAAAAAATCCACCCAAAAAAAACACAAAAAACAAAAACAAAAAAGACCCAAAAAAAGGCAAAAAAACCCCCAACCATCTACAAACAAAACTAAATAAACCTAACTAACAACAAACAAAACAAAACAAAACAAAAGACGTTATGTCTCTTGTGAGGTATTGAGAGTGGTTATCTGCTGGGTTTGGTTCACACCACGCTCCAAACACAACTCATGGAGCAGCTGGACATACCCCTGTGCAGCCCTGCCCATACTGGCATGGCAGGAAATTAAATGGGGTTAAATTGTGCTGTCTGACTTTAGCACAGTGTAACGACTTTGAACTGTACCTCCAGACACCTCCAAAGATTTGGTCTGAAGTGACCTGCTTCTGACTCCTCAGAAAGCTTATATCTGAGCAGGGGTTTGAATGTGGATTTCCTGCCTCTCTGTATGAATTTCTTAATAATCAAATTATTTCTCTTTTTTACAGTTGTGGAGGGCATGCAATGACATGGCAGATTTAAAATGCTGGCGGATCATGTGCTTACAAATCTAACCTTGCACATCTATCACAAATATTCAGGCTTTTTATTCTTTGGTAAATTCGTACTTTCTCCTTCATCTTGTGAAGAATTATCTTGCAGCACGCTGATGATGTTGGTTTGATTGCAATAATAAATTTGAGTTGCTTGTTTGCTTTTAAGGAGAAATATTGCCTTACCTTTTTTATTCTCCTCCTCAAAGGCTGATGAATTCTTCATTGAAGCAGTAACGCTGAAGCAGGTGAGGAGGGTGAGGATAGGGCATGATGGCAAAGGAGGAAGCAGTGGCTGGTACCTTGCCAAAGTGATAGTAAGGGAAGAAGGACAGCCAGAAAGTGAGGCTGTGGAATTCCCCTGCTACAGGTACAGGAAACAATGCTTGCAAATTAAGTCTCTGTCTCTGCATTTGCCAGACTTTGAAGAGCCTAGTTATTGGTCCATGACTAGAATTTTCTGAGCACAGCTTAATCCTTTTTATTTATTAATTTTTTCTTTTTTTTT